AAAAAAAAAATCTTTAAAAAAAAAAAATCAGGTGGCGGAAAGGGAATGTGCAGGGAATTACTTTGCTTCTGAATTTCACACTTGCCAAAGGTGACTGTTACAGATTGAACTGTGTGTTCCCTTCTCCCCTGCAAAAAGATGTGAAGTCCTAACCTTTGGTGCCTCAGAATGTGATGTTATTTGTAAATAGGGTCTTTTCAGATGTAATTAGCTAAAATGAGATCATACTAGAGAGGGAGGGTCCTAATCCAACATGACAGGTGTCCTTATAAGAAGACGGCCATGCGAAGACAGACACAGGGGAGAAGGCCATGGGAAGACAGGGTTTGGGTGACACATATACAAGCCAGGGAACACCAAAGATTGCCGGCAAACCATCAGAAGACAGGAAGAGCTTCTCTACAGGTTTCACAGGGAGCTTGGCCCTACTGACACCTTGATTTTAGACTTCTAGCTTGCAGAACTGAGAGACAATACATTTCTGTTGTTTTAAACCACTTCAGCTTGTGGTACTATGTTAGAACAGCCTGAGGAAACCAACAAGGCAGCCTTGACTTTGAATTTTTATAAATAACGGGGGAGGAGGAAAAAGTCACCTGAATGTCATGACCTACAAGTTTTCAATGACTTTCCAGTTTATTTTCTGATAATGAAAAATATTTTCAAGAACATGCCCAGTCAACACAGGAATTCTAGAAAAGCAAAACAATAGGTAACGAAAATTTTAATATGCCTAGGTATTGACATAAAAAAATTTAAAAATCAGTGTTACAACATCAGTTTTCAAAGATTAACATTTACAATTGTAGTAAAATAAAATTGCACAAAGTTAAATTTCCTTAACACTTCATTTCAATATTAATCTAACTATTTACAGGCTATCAAAATAATGTTATTTCATCTTTTTGTTTTTTAAAGCATTGGTCCTCTTAAGTGAAATGTTAGCGTGGGGCCCCAATACATAATACCGAAAGTTTTCTAGTTGTTCTAGTTGGGGGGCTTCCAGAGGGGGCCTCATACTTCCATAGGTGTCACCTCTTAAGACTCTTAGGGCCCTAAGCATAGTCTGAGAAGCATGGAATTAAAATATTAACAATAAACATTAAATAAGATTTCACTGACAAAGAAAAACTAGGAGGTTCATTCAGTAACCAACACCCTTTTAACCGTCTGCTTTTCCACAGGTTTTTCTTTGGTTTCATCACTTTAGAAAAATTCTTTGTGAACACCAATTGTTTGAATGGCAGCAATATTAATCAGAAATTGTATTTCTACACCTGGGAAATTATCTACAAGATACATGGTGCTAAATAGGATCCAGTAACATGGTTTTTTAAAAACATTTTTTAGGCAGTTCATTGTTCATACTAATAAAAACAAACATTTCTCATGAAAAAAAAAAAAGCCAAGATAATTCTTGGGAAGATGAAGCATCCCAATAAATGAAGCGGAGATTCTAAGTAAATGTAACGTCATGGGGCCCAAAGATGGATGTCCAAACAGGACAGAAAAGGCAACAATGTTCACACAGCCTTCTTTGTGATGTGATGTATAAAGGAACGGCTAGGCTGTGGGGATGTGGAAATATATGTGCACGGTGACACTGATTAAAAATGGACCCTAAGGAGCAGAGAGCCTGTGTTGGACCCCAAGGAGCAGAGAACCACAGGGAAGCATCTGCTTAAGGCTACGTGTGGTTACAGTTATTAACAGACAAAAAAGACGGTCATGAGACACATGGCCTTTTGGTTAGCTGGTTGGACCTGCTCATTAAGGACCTTTCCTCAGGACTTTCACATATTCTAGATAGTTTATTCATTTCACAAACACTTCTACAGATTTCACAAACACTAATGTGGTGCTTATAATGTGTCAGACTCTGTTCTAAGTACTTTACAAATATTAACTCATTTTATCCTTATAATACCCTATGAGGTAGGTACTATTATTAGCCCCATTTTACAGATGAGGAAATAGGTACAGAGAGATTAAGCAACTTGCCCCAAGATCACAGGGCTTGAAAATGTTGATCTTGGACTCAAACCCCTTTCAAGGAAAAAAAATGACACCTTTGGCTAGGAAATTTGTCCTAGAAAAATCTTAGGAACTGGCCTGAGTAACAAGTAAAAATTGATATTCTACAGCACCAGAATTGATACATTCTCGGCACCAGAATTGATATCCTATTTGCTCATCATACCACAAGGATAAGGTTTCTAAATTACTTTTAATTTCAACAAATGTAAATTGTACACAGATGAATACAGGATCTCTTTCATTCTTAGTAACGGCCCTCAGTAAATTGGAATTTGTTTTGAAATGACTGGAGTGAAATTATACTGTTTTAAGATTGTATACCAGCTAAACCAACTAGAAGCTGATTCAGGAAGCACTTGCTTCTCTACCACAGAGACCAACATAAAAAAGGCAGTAAATAAATAGTTAAGTTTGATATAAAAAAAGTGGTTTCAATTAAGGTTTAGGAATAACCTTGTACATCCCAATTCATTACTTGATCATATTCTTGAATTCTTTGCTTTATGTGAGAAAGTTTATTCTTTAGATAATCACAACGTTCTTTTTTTTCCAGAAAGGTAGGATCCTGGAAAAGAAACATAGTTGTTATGTCAGTCTCTGCTTCCCCAGCAAAAAACACACAAACATACATTATCACCCAGAAAATGACCCTTAATAGCAGATTTCAAAATCTGCCTAGTAACAGTTAAGCTCTCCACAATGAGCTTTTTTTTTTAATTTGGAAAAAAAATGTATAATTTATTTGTACAATATTTCACAATTGAATTTGACATTTTAAGAAGACAAAGGAGGGGGGTGCATCACATAAATAAAAAGAAGCACTACGGAAGGAACACATTCTCAGCGTGACAGGCTTTCTGAGATCTGGCTTAGGGAGCAGGTACCTCAGTGCTGCGTGTCTGGAAGGCTCCTGGGGACACTGCTGTCACTGAGGCACTGCAGTGGGGTCCCCTGGGAATGGGGCTGTACGAACTTCCACTGCAAGGTTAAGTCCCAGCAGCAGAATCATCATTTCACTCTTGGAAACCAGTGTGCATGAGGGGAGGCCGAATACCAGGGGAGGCAGTGCTCAGAGCATACCCTTTATATGTCCCCACTTGGAAATTCAAGCATGGCCCTTCCCCCAGGGGAAACCTAAGGGGAAACCTAAGGGGCCACAGGGAATCCAAAATACACCTTTCTGTTCTTTGTCGTAAGCACAGGTGCTGTTCGTCAGCAAACTCATTGATAGAGCATTAAATTGGGAGCCAGTCACTTTGTAAAAGCAGCTCGAGTTGGCCACCATTCATTCTTGGCAAGGACAATGGTTTCAAGAACCAAGTGTGAGAACTAGAGGCCAAGATTCCATGAGCACTGAGGTAGTAAGGTGTGGAAACTTTACATGGAAACAGTGTATCTTTAATCATACATCCCTGATTTCCCCAGGTGACCTCAATTTCCTGTGATTAGCGGGCCTGAAGAGGGTCAGCATGGCACCCCACTCGGCCCCCCCTGTGAGGACCACAGGGGAGTGCTCACCCCTAAGGAGGCTGGGTGGGGGGAGAACCAAGGAGGAGGGTGGGGGGGTAAGGCAGACCTCCCTGGGTGGAGCCCCACCCAACAGGCGGTAGCCACCTGCCCCAGCAGTGCTCAGGGGTGTACACGTCTGGCTCTGTCTACACGCTCACCTCCGCAAGAAGAAAAAAAAGGTTTCTGATGTCCTTTCAAGTGACTTATCAAGTCATCACCCATGAAGGGCTGGTCCCTTTATTTCCAGCCACCATCCGGAGCTGCTAAGAAGGCACTAAAAATGGTCAGTGAAAATTCTTGTAGGGAGACAGGCCCTGGTGCTACCCCAGGTGGTCCTCCCTAGCGGTGGCCACAGAGGGTGGCCCCTGCTGGTCTCACCCGGCTTTCTCCCTTCTATCTCAAGCTGTCCAGCAGCTGAGAGGTCACTAGCCCCCTGTGCATCCAAAGCCGGCCCCTGGATGGGCTCAGAAGGAAGACCCCAGTGGGCAGGTGCATCACTCTGCTCTGCGTTGCCTTGGGTGCCCACACCCAGCCCGGCTGGTCAGCCCTTTTGGACAAGAGGCCAGGGAGCATGGGCCCTGGAGGAGCACCTGTGGCCTGCACAGAACCATGGAGAGTGTCAAAGACAGACAAGTTCACTATTTAGTAAAAATGAGAGCACCTTTGAATCATCTCTAAAAATACATTAAGCACAGGGAATTAAAAACCAGCCCCTTCATTTCCTTGTGGAACGGCATCAAGGACAGGGCTGTGTGGATTAGCTGTTTGCCCTCATTTGTTGATAGATCCAGTCTGTAAATACTGTCACATTTCCATACACTCCTGGTCTGTTAGCCTTGGCACAGCCAGACCCCCAGCTGGTGTTCCCAATCAACCACCAGACGCTGCTCTTCAAAGTGACCAGAGGACCGCCACTGTCACCCTGGCAGGAATCAATGGTCCCATGCAGATACCCCGCGCAGATCATGGCGGGCGTGATCAGGTTATTGTAGACGTATTTGCTGTTGCATTGCCGGGGCTCAATGAGGGGAACCCTAACGGCGTTCAGCATCTCCGACGTTTTCCCTTTCTCGTAGCTGGCACCCCACCCGGAAATCCAGCAGGACTGTGTGGGCTCCAACGTCAAGCCCGGGTTGGGCAGACACACGGGTTTCACTTTGTTATTAAAAGTCAGAGGGGTCTGCAGCTTCATAAGCGCGATGTCATTGTTCTTGCTCTTTGAGTCATAATTTGGATGAGAAATCACTTTTTCCACCCGGTACCCGTTTCCATAGAACATGAAAGATTGTCTCAAAATTCCTGCGAAGGCCGTCCAATACCGTGGATTGTTAAGCGGTTCTTCGACACAGTGAGCTGCTGTCACAATCCACTCGGGGGTGATGATGGAGCCTCCGCAGACGTGGACCCTTTGGACGTGCAGGCTGACCTGCCAGGGCCAGTCCCCCAGGGCTGCACTCATCCCACCCACGATCCGATTCTGGCAGCTCATCTTCGTGTTGACCCCGCATTCTACACAGCGTAACGAAACCACTGCTTTTGAAGAACAGACATCACTGTGGTAGAGTTTCTTACAGAAATCGGTGTTGCCGGCACTTACATTCAGCTTCATAAAGCTGGTGGCCCCGCTGTCATCCACTATTCCTTGGCTGGAATAAAAACTATTCCTGTAGCCCATGTCCCGGCATGCCGCCCTCCCGTAGTTCTCGCTCCAGTCGTCTTGGCACACGGGGTGCCAGGACTTCCTCTGGGACGAGTACACCTGAAGGATGAAGTTGGGTCCATAGAGGCGAACGCATCGGTTCTCGTCCTCCCCGCTGGGGTAATGCAGGACCCCGGTGCACCAATGAGAGGCACCGACGCAGGTCCCCGAGGAGCCACACTCGATTCGGGACACGGAGCACTTGTTTTCCATGAATTTCTGGAGCAAGACAGCGGCCACCACTGCTCCCACGAGGACGGCCCCCAGGGAGAAGGTGATGCACAGCACTTTCTTAGTCCTTGAGGTGCACAGTGTCCCCGATGGAGACTTGGGCTGTGTGTGGATGGCAGGTGTCGAAGTGTTCGTCAGAACCCTTGGGGTGTACTGGGGTACCACGGGCGGGTAATACCCAGCCCGATACACCGAGTAGGCACTGGGGGCCACAGCGGGCTGCGGAGGATAGAGGCTCTCAGGCTGGTATCCATGGTTTTCGTAGTAAGGTCCAACGCCTGGTGGTGATCCTGAGTTTAAAGCCATCCTAACTTGATCAGCAGCATCGGGTAATGGTAGATATTTGAAACCTTCAAGATGACCTGCATCTTGACCTGCTGGGCCCGGCGCTGCTGCCCGTCGCTCTTCCTCCTCCTCTTCCTCCTCTTCCTTCTCCACTTCCAACCGATCTCGCGTCTTCCTCTGCCCGGCGCGGGATCCACAATGTTTTTAGTAGACTTTATTTTTGAGAATAGTTTTAGGTTCACAGCAAAATTGGGAGATACAAAGAGCTGAGGCACCTTTAACTTTAGTAGTTTAAAATACATGAAAGGTAAATAATAAGTACAGAAATATTTAATGAACGCTCTCTCCAGTCTCTACTGATTTGTGCAACTAAGGATGGAGTTAGAAACATGTAAAATAACTTAATCTTTCTGAAGGAAATGTGGGTGAAGAGTTTTATATTGGTGCTCGTTTCCCTGGGTGGCTAACTCAGGACATAGAAAGTAAGCAGAGCAGAGATGAGAAGAAAGGAGTCCAGCAGCCCTCCCTGTTCCCTAACAAGTAGCATCTTAAGAATAAAAAAAAAAAAAAAAGAACTACTTTAGCTAAAAGAATCTAAAGTCTGTCAGTTGTTACCATTGTACTTGGATACGAATATGCTTTGAAGAAGAAAATGGTTTTACTCACCTTCTTTTTTTTCTTAAACTCTTCATGGATTCTTGAAATTCTCTCATGTTCCTAAAAATAGTATATGGTATATTTAAATTAAAACAGTTGCATTTACTCAAATCGTATCTCAAGAATTTCAGAAAGTACACTGGGATTAGAACAAAAAACAATTTTTACCTAAGACTACAGTGAAAACATTCATATACCAAAATTCAACTCACTGGATGAAATCTGAGGGCTTACTATATGCCAGGCCCAGGGGCCCAGGGGTGAGCACAGAGAAAGGCCCCCGCCTGCATGAAACCAGGACCAGGTCCCAGTGCTACTGCTTGCCAGCTATGTGATTTAGGCAAGCTCTTTACCCTCCCCAAGACTCAGTTTCCTTATTGGTAAAATGTTACTATTGGGTTGTTGGAAAAGTCATGATGCATTTTTGCAACGAAAAACACAGAAAAAATACGTCATTACTTTTCCGACAACCCAATAACCATGGCTACCTCATAGGGTTGTGAGAAGGTTCACTTATTTGAAATGATCCTTATAAAGTGCTTGGCACATAATGATCACAACATTAGCTATTAGTAAGTATCATTTTCATCCCCTTTGGAAAGTTATTATGTTATTAGGTACTTTTCATGTTATTAGGTATTGGGATTATGAGGTTGAGCTATTCAACTTTTGAAAATCGCTAATATAAGTTTCCTTCTAAGCTTATTCTGTTTTATAATAATAAGAAATTTGTTAAGGGGTTGAACAGTCTATCCAAAGGGAACAGATGACTAGAGGAATGCCTTCATTTATCCATGTAGACCTATGTTTTAGAGACTGTCAGACACTGTAAACCTCGTACATAAAATGTAGTAATTTATAGTTCTGAAAGCCTCCCCTGAGAACACTTCCCATCATTTACCCACATCCTTCTCACAATACATTTTAATTCATCAATGCCTTCTGCATACTAAGATCATGAGTATCGTTTGTTTTCTGACTGCTGCCAGCAGCAAAATGAAGCTGGTGATTCTGCTGTCATCTCTCTGGACAGGTCCTGGACTGGGAGTAAACTCGCTGCCTGGGGCCAGGGCTGCTGTGCTGGAGACGCAGGCAGAAATGAGGGCTGTGAATCCTAGCCTAGCGTCTGCCAGAAGAACTGAATTTAAGAGGGTGAAGAACAAGAGGGGTTCTTTTGAGCCATATTCCTATTTTATAGACTTAGAAAAGTCATATGATTGTTTGATTTTTCAAGGGCACACAACCAGGTTTGTGAGAACCTGTGCCTCCAAGCAGGCCTGCTAAGCTTTGAAACTGCTCCCTGGGGACGTGCTAGGACATGCACGAGCCTTACTGGCAGACCTCCTGCCCACGGTAAAGCTGGCCCATTGGCCGATGAGAAGTGAACTTTCGTGATACAATGAATATTTCTACTTTAGAGATACCGAGACTAACTGTAGTTGGCCCTGTCATGTGGCTACTTAGTTGCCATCCCGTGTTAAAAACCAGAGGAAATGACTATGGTTGATATCGTGTGGAGATGTCATGGGAGGACTTGGTCTCCCAGTCCCTACAGTAATCAGGACTCCCTCACCCGCAACTGCAGACCCACATGTCTAAGCCCTTGCCCCGTCATACAAAGCCTCCAAACCAGAGACCACTGGGTCTAGGCTCAAAGACTACATGTCACGGTTGGGTTTTTCAGCATCTTCGTCTGTCAACCAGCTTGCTCTTCCCAATCAGAGCTGATCCAGATTCTGGGGCCCGCTCACTCCTTCCTGCACTCAGCTGAGCGCCTCTAAACTTGGTCTCCCCTCTTGAACCTGTGGACCTTGCTTGTTTTCCAAACGGTACAAACTGACCCTTGACCTGCAGTATTTGCTGGATTTTCCCTGCTTCCTGGTACTGGTGTCACTTAGCCAACACTATCCCATTGCTCCAGGATTGGGAAAATGTCACTACTCTACACATTTGGGTTAGATAGCTCATAATTACAGCTGATTTAAATGTACACTTAAAAGTGTGGGGTCATTACCCCAATAAACTTTAATTAAAAAAAAAAAGTACTTGGTCAAAACAAAGATGCCCAACTAATATGGGTCCAAGAATATATATATATATATATACACACACACACTATATATATATAAAACATGTATGTTATACATACATAATTTGATATTTATTTTTAAATGCTGTACGAATTCTTAAAATTTTAATTACACAAGTAATAGATTAGATTAGTACATCTTCTTTAAAAAGGATAATATTACACACCAATGTTCATACAATATTTTAATAGCCAAAAAAGTGGAAACAACCTAAATGTCTATCAACTGATACATGGATAAACTGAACATGGTATATGCATATAATGGAATGTTATTATCCCACCACAAAAAGGAATGAAGTACTGATTCTTGCTAAAATAGGTGAACCTTGAAAACATTATAGTAAGTGAAAGAAGTCAGACACAAAAGGCCACATATTATGTCACTGCATTTAAATGAAATGTTCAAAATAAGCAAACCCATAAAGATAGAAAGTATATTGGCAGTTGTCAGTGGTTGGAGAAAGGTGGGAATGGGGAATTAGGGCTAATATACATGGGGCTTCTTTTTGGGGTGATGAAAGCATTCTGGAACTAGAGAGTGGTAATGGTTGTATGGCTCTGAATATACTAAAACCCACTGAATTGTACACTTAAATAGGGTGAATTTTGTGACATGTGAATTGTACCTCAATAAAAAAATGTATGTTTGATAAAAAATGCCGTCGATTATGAGGGCATCCTGATTTCTGAGATATTAAGACATGACAGGAAAAAAAAGAGAACACTACAGAAAATGCGTACGTCGCAGTGGCTGCCCTCCCCACCCTGGTTTGCCTCTCTGCCAAGATCACGGTTATCAGTCCGATGTACGTGCCCAACAACCTCACATTTGCAGCTTCAGATCCGTTCTCCATCCTTACCCACCATGCTCTTTGGGCCTGGGCATCCCCGCTTAGCTGTTACTTACCTCTGGAGAATGCAGGGCCCCTGGTGGCTCCCCTACACGCCACCACTCCTTGTGAATAAACCCTCCTCAAATTATCTTAGTTTGAGTGTGCCAACTGTCTCTGTTGGGACCTTGATCGACTCAGTATGTATCTTAAGGCAAATTTATACTTAAATAAGAAAATGAAATACTGGTTAATAATCGAAGGCAGAAGACATTAAGTTATATAATTTGAATTGTAACCTTGACTAGCCACCTGGAAGATCTCCAATGACTTTCCTAGACACAGACAGCTGACACAGATGGTTTGGCTTCTCTACATTTCAAAAATGGTCAGATTTCATCCTTTCTTAACTCTCAGCGCTCTTCCTAGGCAGCTGCAGACACTGACCTGCTGGTTGCCCGAATGATGTGGCAGTCTGCTCATCACCGCGTCCAGTTCGTCAAACTTCCTCAAGATGGCTTGAACTTCTGCAGACAGCTCTTTGTACTCTGAAAACTGGTCTTGGAACACAGCTTTATAGCGTTCTCGTTCATCATCCGTCTGAATCACAGGGTATTTTCTGTGGGGGGAAAACATTAATCAAAGTTATAACTTTTTCACTAAAACAAGCTGAATGGGAAATCGGCTAAGCTTATTCCTTACTGACCATAGTGTACTTTCAACTCAGGTACTAAAGAATTGCTCCAATATAAATGATTTTAAGCAGAGAAGATTAACATGGAGATAAATAGGAAAATGAAAAGCCCAAATGGAATCTCTCAGTTTCTACCCTGAAGGAGGTTTTAGATGGATACTCACGCCACATAGTCAGGCAACACGATAGGTTTAGGAATGTGGCCTGAGGGGATGTGTCCACTCAGTACTTCAGTTTTCGTTTTTGTTGCTCTCAGTTCTTTGTAATTAACTTCTTGGTCTCTCGGTCTGTCACCACCGATGGCCATTTCACACTACAGTTAGTGAGAAAAAGAGGATTTGTTTATAAACAGAGGCAGAAGAAAAGAAAAAAACACCCCAAATTTATTTGTAGGAGAAAATGGAGGGAGGGGCAGGAGGAAAAAAAGTGGAAACAGTATTCACATTTCACTTCAGAATTACATGGTTTATAGAGACAAAGTTGTTCTGAATGTTTTTGTAACAGCTAAAGGGAATCACTGAGGTGGGAATACATAATAGTTAGAACAGCCTCCAACCCCCATCATATATATGTTAAAGGTAGATGATAAAACATTAAATGTGGGGTTTTCAGTAGTTTACTTATTTAGGATTTATACCCCAACTAACTAAAAGAATAAAAACTGTAGTTAAAATAAGAAATTCAGGGGATAAAAATGGAACAAGGCTATTTCAATGGAAGGAGAAAAAAAATGACACGGGAACCTGAGGTGAACCAATTGCAAGCAGCCACCGAGGAGGTCAGAAAGGGAAGTGAACTATGTTGTTTCATTATCTGAAAGGAAAGCAAGCAAATCCAGAGGAGAGGTAGTGGATGTCTTCAATGTGCCCAAGTAAGTGTCCCTAACCTGCGACTCCCTGAAGAGGGCTGCAAGGATACTGTTGGTGGTGGTTTAAGTCACCCTGGTTTCTAAATGGAAAACTCCTAGAAGCCTTTTTAGTAAAAAAACAAAAATGGTACATTCAAAAGAGAGGAAATGAACATAAGATGAAATGGTCCCGAGAGGAAGTATAGGGGACAGGCCTTAAGAGCCAAAATAGCCAACAGAAAGGAAGTTGGAGTGAGGGCCCAGTGGACCCGCCCTAGAGTGAGCAGGCTAAGATGGGACGTGCATGCAACTTTGGGGCTGGGAAAAGGCTGTTCAGGGACCCCACTGGGAAGTGCCCAGAACACCAACCAAGTAAGTGAGGCTGGTGGATGCCAGGAGAGGGATTTCCATTTTACAACTAAAAGAGCAAAGCTGAGAAAGGTTCAGTACATTCTCCGAGGTCTCACAACTATGAAGTGGAAAAGCCAGGATTAAAACCCAGAGCTTTTTGGCTCCCTGATGATACTTTAAATGAGTAACACAAGGAAACCGGTTTACTTAACTATATGTTGTTCAACCCTCAAGTTCCCTGAAGTTCAGGTAGCATGCTAAAAATGAGTTTGTGATGGGCAGTGCGGGCGGGCGGTGCCAGCCTGCTGGGGGAAAGCAAGCTCAGGAAAGTAAGTGTGGGCACAGAGGTTCCTCCTTAGGCAGTACGCTCCCCTCCACTGCCCTTTGGGCCTTAAGTTCTGCTTGCAGCATTCCAACTCCCTGAACTAAACTGAGAGCGGCTTAGGAGGGCCCCTGCTTCACTGAAAACAAAATATAAAACAGGATTTTAAAATCTGGCCAGGCAGCTTTTAAAAGCCTTTGTTCCCTGATTTCCTATCTCTGAGGCTGCCTTTGAGGTTTGGTCTAACATTAGCTCATTCTAAAAACCACTTGCTCTTAACTCACCAAACATCACAGCCCTGATTAGAGGGTTGGATAAAGGCTGCTAACCACCCCAGGGGAGGGTTACGAAAAGGAGAAGCTCACAGCCATGGTGCTAGGCGAAGGGGAACCAGATCACCTCCATGCGCCTAGCTACTGGGCCCAAAAGAGCGGGAATGCGAGGGGAGGGGGGGGGGTGCGCGCAAATACCCTGGGACGGACCACTCTCAACCAGTGCTTCTGATTACAAACACAAGGCCCCAGATTTCATGACCTTTCTTTGCTCCTAGTAAAAACTAGTCTTGTCAGCAAATATCAGTAAAGCTTTACTATGAGGCAAGAGAAAGTAATTAAGCAACGGGGATAAGTAATGCTTTGGATATAATTACTAAGCGTTTCAAATGAATGTGCTGTTAAGTCAGAAAGAGGGAGAGCTAGAGATGCGTTTCAGTGTGCGCTTGCCCAAACTCTGATTCTCTCTCTCTCTCTCTCTGAGTGTATAATGGAATGAGGCATAGGCTCCTTATCCCAAACCTGTGTCATTACTTTTGATGCCCAGATTAGATTTTGGCTTTTCTAGTTTGGGAAAGAAATCTGCTCAGCACTTCAGGATGTATGAAAATTTGTTTCTATCTCTATCTTACCTTACTTTATGTCTGTATATTATTTCTTTTCAAAGCGACCTTATTTGCTTTTTACCAATTGTTTTCGTTAAATTACAAAATAAGAAGGGACAGCCTAGTAGACAGTTCCAAACAAATGACAGGAAACTGAAGTTCAGAGAGGGTAAGTAACTTCCCCAGGGTCACAGAGCTAGTAAGTAGCTGATCTGGTACTCAAATTCAGATCTGCCTAATCCCAAAGTTTATCTTCATCGCATCCCACTACCTCTCCTGTGGTAGTCTGCCCACTCTTCCCTACTAAGGACTAGGAAGGAAGCAGGTGAAAATCATACCCAATAAGAAGCTGGGAACCAACCTTTTCAATAAGGTTTCCTCAGTTAAGTCATGGGAGTCCCTCTCACAGAGGTCTGACTCTAGAATACATCTAAGTATGCTGACTCACAGACATCCATCTCCCAGGGAAAGAGGCCTTAGAAAGGATGCACTTTGCATTCAGCTCCCATATCTTCAAAGAGTACCAATTAACTGGATTGATAGAATCTTAAAAGGAGGCCCAGGAATGGGGGAATCCAACTCTGCTAAGGCAATTCATGACGGTTCCAGGACCTCTCATGCTGGGCCCCAACCTTCTAGGGTGGCCGGAAGGAGGAACCCTAGACTCCCTGGCAGACCTTTATAATCCTGTCCCACATGTGGAACCTGCCTCAGCCACATTCTCACCAATGACACTGACCACTCTATCACTTCCTCCAATTCGGCCAAATATTTTACTCTACTTTGCACTTAATCCCATTGGTAAATCCCACTACCTTAAAGGGACTGACCAGGAAGCCCATGGATTCCACCCCAGCCAAGAATGACCACCACTGCCACATCATCGCCACACGCAGCTCAGTGAGATAGCCCTGTCCAGCTGGTGTTAGGCAGTCAGCATCTGCAAAGTGCACACCACCTATAACCCACAAAGCAAATAGATTCTTTCCTTCTGCCCCCGAGGATGTCCCCAAACATATTTCCTAATGTTAGCACTGTGACTTGCCAACTCTGGGATCAGATTTTGATATCACCTGTTAACAAGGGAGTCAGCTTTTAGAAAGTGTATTTCCTCATATGTAAGTTTTTAGGCCCCCTTTCCATTATAAACAGTCATTCTACTCCTGATGTAGCTTCAAAACCAAAGACCCTTTAAACTCACTATTTTCCATGCAGCGAACATTATTTTAGGACTCTTATGGGGCTGTGATTCATTCCTGGCCAGGGTGAAATTTGAGTTTCCTAGTTAGTCCCTTTGAGAGAGCAGGACGTACCAATGGGTTAAGGCAATACTGGCAATATTGAATGAGAGTATTGGCGGTGACCTGCCAAAGCCACCCTCATGATGACTCCCAGTGGGGAAGACTGCTCTCTGCATCTAGTCAAACTCACTCACGTCTCTGTGCTGGGAAGCAGCTCAGAGGGTAAGTCAGGGAGGTTGCACTTAAATCTCAAACAAAGGGCCTGTGTTATTTAAACATCAGCCTTATATCGCTTATCTCAATATTTGCAATGAGTATTTATTAATTTAATTTTTAAAAAACTTAAAGCAATTTTTAAATAGGTAACATATACACATGATATATAATTAAAAAGGTCCAAAATGGTACATAATGAAAAGTCTCCCTTTATCCCTGTCCCCCCTCAGTTAGCTAGGTGCCGTCCTAAAGGCAACTACTATTATCACTTTCAGGTGTATCTGATTTTTTTTTTTTTTTAAGCTGAGTTATCCTGCTACCTGTTGGCAGCTCAACAGCAACTCAACAGCAGCTCAGCTCCAGCCGGGAATCGAACCAGCGACCCTGTTGCTCAGAGCTTGCACTCTTGAGCGAACTCTTAACCAGCCGAGTCACTCGGCTGGCCCCAGGTGTATCTGATATTAATATATATATTTTAGACAGCTTAAAAGTGAGCATCCATTCAGCTTACTCTGGTTGTTAGTACAAGTCTAATGGAGTTAGAACAAGTCTAATTGAAACGTACATCTTGACAGAAATAAATGTTGAATAAATAAATTAACATAAAACTAACTAAAACACAGGGAATCAGGAAGTTAAAACAAAGTATAAAACAAACAAATGAAAAGCCCCTCCCCCCCTCCCCACACACACTACTGTAGTATCTCTCTAATTCTATGGACAATGTTTACAGTGTATAGGTTTGTAGCATTTAGGTCCACACTGCGTTGTGGGAGAAAAACTTCAATATTCTGTAGACCAGCTAATACCAGCCTTACTTGTCCCATGCCTGCAGGACTGGTCAGATATCTCTTGATATCTAAAGATTTATGAATATCCAAAATAATCCCAGAAAAGCTTTTGAGCCATCTCAGCTGCAATTCAGATGACTTCACATACACGTCAGAAACAATTTAATGCAACTGACTCTTTAAAAAAAAGTGGCAAATTGTAAATCCCCAAAGATGGCCAATTAACAATGCTAAGTTTGAGACATTATCATCCATAAATTCATTTCCCTAGGAAATGTGAGAGAAATACAAATCTTTAAGCAAATTTTTAAAATTATATAGTTCTTGGTGCTTGTGCCTCTCTCTCAACACACACACACACACACACACACACACACACACACACACACACACTATCACACTCTACTAATCTTTTATCTATTTTCCTTTTTCACTAGATTTGTAAGCCCCTGTATAATGGTGATGATACTCCTTGTAGTATTCATGTCACTGGCCTACAGCCTAACTGGTACATGTTTGCTCAATGAATGAATTAATAATGACAGTGCTGAATTAATCACGATCCCTTGAACGGACTGTTCACCCACTTCATAAATCCTTATTTTGGCATGAACAACATATTTTCAAATAGTATTTGCACATTATAGAGAATAAAGTTAAAAAGAACCTAAAAGGTATTTTCAAAATGTATGCATTTAACAAAGGATTTGTGCAAATTAGCAATCCAATAAAAAAACTGGGTGCAAATTAGCAATCCAATAAAAAAATTGGACAGGATATGACAGTCAAGAGAAGGAAATGCAAATGTAACATATGAAAAATGTTCAACCTCACTCCTGTTAAGAGAAATGCAAATTATAACTACATGAGATACCGTTTTCACCTATCAGATTGACAGATGTCAACAAATTTCCTAACACACGGTGTTGATCAGGGGGTGAGGAAGCCTGTCGTGCTGTTGGGAGTGAAAATTGGTAAAACTTCTACTGGGTAATCTGGCAGTCAAAATATATGAACGGAAGTATGTACAAGTATATATGTATATGCATAAGGTTTTTCATTCACTGTAGCATTTTTTTTAATTTTTCAATTATAGTTGACACTCACTATTATACTGTAGTATTGTTTTTAATAGTGAAAGATTGGAAACAACCTAAATGTTCATTTATGGTTAAAATGCATCCATACAATGCAATACTATGTAGTTGTAAAAAGAGAATGCCTAAGTTCTTCATGCACTAATCAGGAAACATCTTAGAAATGTATTGTTAAGTGGAAAATATAAGGACTATAACTGTGTATGGTAATCTACCATCTGTATAAAAGGGGAAGGAGAGTGAATATATACATAACACATTTCTAAAGGAAACACAAGACACTCGTAACACTGGTTGCTTCCAAGCAGAAAAACGGGGAAGCCAAGGTGTAGGAGGTGACAGAAGACTTTGTGTAAGGGAGTCTTCTGACTTTTGAACCAAGTGAATATACTCCCTTTTCAAAGAAACCAACCAACCAACCAACCCATTAGTTGGATTCTCATCTCAACTTTTGCTTAGAAATAATGCCCACTATCTTAAAAAAGAACTTTTCAATGAGGTAAAATCATGACTAAAATATATTAAAGTATTACATGTTGGAGGCCCAGCTGTCAGGGCCTCCCAGGGTCAGGAAATGTTCACAGACTTTGGAGACTGGCAGCCCCGACTCCCCCAGGCCCAGGTGGGACTGCAAGAAAACAGCTTGTTTATGTGAGTTGTTCCTAGTGTGGATGTACTGGCACCATGACATTGTTATCGTGTTATAAAAACCCCAGTTCTGCTTAACGGGGTTGGGTTCTGGGTTCTGAGTTGTGCTGCTCTGCTGCTGTTTAACTGAGTTCTGTCTCTGCTGCTGCTGTTCTGTCTTTGCTGAATAAAGTGTTGCTGCATTCATGTCCAAGACTCTGCAAGGCTTTTTTTTACCTTTGGGTACCTCACCGCTGAAACCGTCCCTACTTGAAACACTCGGACCCGACATTACATATATGTAGATAATTATAATAACAGCATTTCATTTAATCCTCTCAGCAATCTTGTGGGGTAGAAATTATTATTATTATTATTCCAATTTTACAGATGAAGACCAAAGTAATGGATAGTAAAATACCTTCCCTACTGTCACACAGTTAGTAAATCATGGAATAGGAATTTCTTTCTTGACACAACAAAATTTGGCATCTGAGAACAAAGTGAGAAGGACAGAAAAGAACTGCAAAGAACTTTAAAGAGACTGAAAGAAGTTTGGGAGAATTACCTACATTTTTAAGAAATTAAAATTTAAATATATAAGGAGAACCAGCAGTTCACTTGCATAAGCTTTCATGTAAGAAAATTCAAGAAGCTATAAATAGCCTTGTCTAATTTGGTCCTTTTAGTATAGAAAAAAGCTGAAAGTGCTATTATGAACTTAATGTAATAGATACACTTAACACAGACAGATGATCTCCTCTGTAGATTTATAGACAAGAGAGGAAAGTACTTAACAAATCTAGAGATAAAATACAATGCGAACTTTATTCTTACCATTTTCCTTTTTGATGGCAATGATAGCTCACTTATCTGGAACAAAAAGAGTTACAATGATTTTTCAAAGGTGTGTGATGCTACGTTGCAAATATTTCCATCCATTTGCATTTATAGCCCAGCATCAATTTTACAGGGGTTGATTCTCTACTTGTCAGATGTTCCTCCTACTCTTTTGGCCATGTTTTGATGGCCAACGGAGAACCAGAGGAGGGATAATTGTAATTCCCTGTGAATCAGGAGCAGAGAGCAGAGTTGGAAATATGGAGATGGTAGAGACTGTTTGGTGAGTTGCCCTGAATTACCTAGAGATTTTGTTTATTCTTGGCTCCCACTACCTTGCACAGTTAAAGAGTTTGGGACAGTTACATCATAAAATTAATAGAAAAAAGCCACAGGCCATTACATCTTCTAACTTTTAGGAAGTTACAGCAACATACAAACAGGCACAACCTCATTTAATATCAGAGATGATTAAAACTTAATCAACCATTATGGAAAGTCTGATAGAAACAAGCTTTTGTTGAGAAAGGGAAAAGAAATGAAAGCATTATGTTGACAACTGCAGTCATATTCATGCGGAATTTTGATGTGACATGAAGAACTCTGTTATTATTACAGTTACATAAAATTATGAGGCTGGGTATGTGTTTCACTACTTAGATTTGACACTGCTTGGAATTTAAAGTTCTTTACTTTGTTTACACAGATGTAAATTTAAATATGCTTAACGTGCTGAGATAAACTTTTAGAAATAACTTGAATCTATGTCGAGTTCTAGTAAGATAAAAATATTTTGTGGGTCCATTGAAACATGTTGAGAGGATCTCCATATAACACATAAGGTACTTATTATAAACTGAGTCAAGTTTTTTTGTTGTTGTTATGCATAAGATTCTTGCAAAAGATTAAGAACAAAATATATAGGTCAGTGAATAAATAAATAGGTTATTGAGTAAATAAGGGCAGAGTTTCATTTTTATCTATAGTTTTGCCCAATACACACCATGTGCAATTATATAGTATATAGGAGGACTTTGGAAAACAGAGAAAAGATGCATGATACAGTTGACTTAAAATTAAGATAAAAATTAAGGTAATTAATACTGACAATTTCAGTGGCATAGGAAATACTACTACATACTCCTCCTTAGAAGAAAGCAAAACATTAACTTGTTTCAGGGTATAACGAAGTTACTAGAGCATACTCTTAACATTTTTTGCTACCATTCAAATAAAATAGTTTTAAATAGGGCTTTTATATAGTCTCATCCTCTAGGTATCATTATTATTATTATTATTATTATTATTAATTATCTTCCTCTTTCTTCTCCTCCTTTTCCTTCTTATATTTAATTAGTTAACTCCTAGAAATAGAATCAAGTGCATGGCTCCCAATCTAATTTTGGAACACTCATCTTGCTAAAATAAGGATAAAACATCAAAATGCCTGGGCAAGTTTTCACAAAGTAAGTTAATTACAACCTGCTCTCTCAATAATTAAAATAAAATAAAATGTGGTTCACCATATTCTTTCTTGACTTTATTTAACTCAGTGGAAAAAAGTGGGACACATCATAACAGATTTAAATGAGCACTTTCCTCCTGTAACTGAAAAATTATGTTTTTTGTTTATTGTCTTACCGTACTAAAGAATCAAGATTGTTCTCAAACTTTAACGATGAGACACTTCATTTACTGAATATGTTATTATTCCTCTTTGCAGGAATTCAGTAGCTGTGTTTTCCCTTTAAACAGACATAATAATGCAGCCAACAAGCTATGTATTACACCCCTCGTGTCTACTTGCAATGTTATACGACAGTAACACACTAGAGCACGTTATCCCAGTCACAGCATGTCAGATTCTGAGCGAGGACTGTTCAACTTTAGATCATAACACAAACAAACAAAAAAGAATTCTATAAAATCTTTGTTTTGAGAACTATACGTATTTAACCAGCAAGTAAATAACAGAAACAAAAATTAAAAACAAATGAAAAATTGTGACATTCCTTACCTCCTGCTGTTGCATGTATTCCCTATGTCTCCGAGCTGCCTCATGCCTCCATAACTTTAGGCAAACCAAAGCACTAATGAGATAAACAATCATGGTGACAAACAAGAAGATCATTGCTGCGATCTGTCCTCCTTCTACCCGGCAGAACACTGCATTCATTGGTGTATTAAATACTGGATAGTAGCACAGTCCACCTCGGTTGATATCATTCACATAGACTATGGCTGCAGCCATATACAAAATAAACAAGGCAACGTTAATTCCAAATTCAGTTAGGGGCCACCAGTTAGAGTCCAAAAGAATGGTCTGATAATACATGGACATGCCAAGAACCAGGATAATAATGGTGGTGATCCAAGCTAAAGCGGCAACCACGAGTACAAAAGGAGTTTTGGGGCCACTGTAGTAATAGCCCCCATACATACTGCCCAGGCCACCAATGCCTCCCATGGCATTAGATGGTGAATATCCAAACATGTTATACCACTCGCTGTCCTTGTGAATGTAAGCTGTGACACAAGCAAAAACACCGGCCCCCATGAGCAGCTCCACCACACCCAGAATTCTCAGCAGGCCTGCCCACGACTTCATGTAGGAATACCTCAGGTTATACTCCTCCATCTTCTCACTGTATGTTCGAGCTGTTTGTGTCTGTCGGCCTAGAGATCCATACGGATCCTGAGGAAGCATTGCTTCGGCCTCTTTCCGGGAATTATAGGTTCCTTCTGACCCTCCACAAGTATCTTTGTAGGAGTTGGGGGGTGAACGGTGGTTTGGTCTTATTGGAGAGGCTGGCGGTGAGCATTCCACTCCGTCGGAGATATATCTGATGTCTGACACCGGCTTATCCCATTTTGGGTCCTTTTTCTTCCCTCTGAAGAAGTTCTTCCAGGACTCAGGGACAAAGCGCCTCACGGGTTTGAGATCTGGTGCTATGGCTGGTTCCTCTGTGTCACTTGAGTAGAAGTCGGGGCCGAATGGTGGCTGTAATGGGAGAGGGGGTGGTGGCAAAGGATCAGCGCTGACAGCCAGCTCAATGTCATGAAGAGTCTGGAGGGTTCTTATGGTGCCATCTTGATAGGCCAGGTCCCGTGGGACCTCATCGTAGTGCCTGTCCCGATTCCTGGATCTTCCATCGTTTGTCGACATTTGTGATTTCTATACCTGTGGCCAAGATTAAAGGTATCACTTATGCTTAGTTATTATTTCAATGATGTTGATTTTATTTACTTAGTAGCAAATGAACGTATTTAGGAAACCAATATGATCATGTCGAATTATTATGATATACAAAAATGATAACATAAATGTTTATTTTAAACATATGTAATCATTATGTTAGCCAGGGATATAGTCATCATTCTTTATGAATTGAAGGGCAATCAAAATTTCAAATCTTAACTCTCAATTAAAAGTTATAAGTTTAGGGAGAGGGGGGTTGTTTCTGTGTGAAGGGTGAAAAGGATAACTATTGTATTGTTCTGTACAACTGAAACTAACAATTAAAAAAAAGTTATAAGTTTAATTTATCTATTAGCCCTATAAACAACAAAATATAAAAAACAAAAATAAGACTTTATTTAACATAAAGTTTAACAAGACAGGGTGCTACCTCATTCCAAGCAGAGTCCTTTCCTCAAACAGCTAAATAAAAATATTTAAGAGGTTGAGCATACCAAAATTTGATGGGTCAGCAAATACTCTTCATTTTCATTAACTCAAATCTGCTTTGGAATGAACAGCCCGAGAGACGCAGCCTGTTAAACACAGGGCGTGAAGAGCCCCTTTCCCTCCTAAATCAGGAAAGTCAGTTTAGGGGAGCTGCTTCTCCCACTCTAAATATTAACACTTGATATTAGAGTCTAAAAATTGATTTCAGACTAAAAAAAATCACCAAAGGTAAAGATTCCCCAAAAGTACAACACAGAATAGCAGCAATGATCATGTATATCACTTTCCAGAGTAATTAATTATCTAAAGGCGACTTGCTGTTGCCATGGAGACTCAGAAGGTATCTTACAGCATAGGAAAAGCACTTTTACTAAACCTGTTGATTTCCTTCATGAAATCAATGACCTGGACACATATACAAAAAGAAGGAAACCATTTGCTAATGTAACTCCTACGTTGAAAGCACATGCATTTCTCCCTCAAATTGCTTATAAGTGTGTATTTACTTGAAGACTCACTGGGCACATGGCATTGTACCTGGAACTATGAAGGTGGTATCAAAATTAAAATGGATAATCCCACCTTTATGGCGTTGAACAATTTAGAAATTCCTAAGGCTTTGTTTTATTTTACTTTGTAAAATGTAGACCGATCATTTAACAGATATTTACCAAGCACCTGCCATGTACCAGGTGTATCAGTACTGTGTACCCTGCTGAAGGTGTATCAGTGAATGAAGCCAGCTGAAATCTCTGCCTCCGTGGAGCTTATATTCCATTGGGGGGGTGTAACAGATGACAGATAAGAGAAGTGAAATATATCAGATGCGAAGGAACAAAGTTAAGAAACGGAATAAGGAGTGCATTGTGGGCAAGGTGTTACAATTTTATTACTACCTTTTAATTTTCAATTACAGTTGACATTCAATAATATTGGGTGATACAATTTTACACAGAATGACCAGGGAATTCTTCACAGAGTACGTGACATCTGAATATAGAAATGAAGGAGCAGGAGCAAGCTAGGCAGGTATCAGGAGTAAGTGTTCCAGACAGATGGAGCAGCTAGTGCGAAAGCCTTGAGAGTGCCTGGCATGTTGGAGAACTATTAAAGCATGGAGGCCAACGTGGTTAACAGCAGAGAGAGAGAGAGGGTGAGTAGAATTGAGGCCATCTGAATCATTAGGGCCTTGAAAGCCATTGGAAAGGATCTTGGCTTTTACTGGAAGTGAGATGAGAAGCCACTGGAGAATTCTGAGTAAAGGAGTGATACCACCTGACTTGTTTTAATAGGATCATTCTGTGCTGTGCTGAGAGTACACTCCAGGAGACAAGTGCAAAAACAGGGAGACTGGCTAGGAGGCCACGGACATAATCTAGTGGGCCATGGCGGTAGCAATGGAGGTAACAAGAAGAGGTCAAATCCTAGATACAGGGAATTAAAGTTTTTTTATTATAGAAAATTTCAAACATAAAAAGGGGAAAGAATAGTATTATGAGCCCTTATGTATCCATCAACCAGCTTCAATAATTATCAATTTATGACCAGTCTTGTTTTATCTATACCCACTACCTTATTCCCTCTGCCAAAAGAATACTTTGAAGCAAATCCCAGACATCAGACCATTTCACCTGCAACATACCTCCAGCTCTCCAGTTTAGCCTTGGGGAGCAGTCTGAAGAGGCTTTGACATACCTGTTAGAAATCCAGGTGGAGATGTCAAGGAGGCAGTTTACAAAGAGAAGGGTATGTACTGCCACAGACTAGATAGATTCACCCAGGAAATGGGTGGAAATGGAGAAGCGGTCTAAATTCCAGGGTCTTCTAATGGGGCATTCCAATTTTAAATAATTATCTGTGTCTTTCCAGCATGGTGCAAAGTAGGAGTTCTATAAATGATAGCAATTAGCAGTTTTTTGGCTCTGTTTTTTCCTCTCTTTATCTGTTATCTAACAAAGTTTAAATTTTAGAAATGCAAAGTACTGCTATGGTTGTGAAATACATTTTCCCAAGAAAAGTAGAAGCAAAAGCACCACAAACAGCTTTAGCGAGTTTTCCATAATATCCCTCAATATCTATGCTATATATGCATTCAAAGGATAACCCATTACTTAATTTAAATCACTGGTAAAAAAAAAAAAGTGCTTCACTGTAAGGGATTTATCTTCACCTGTAAAAAGTGGCTTATTTGAATTAGACCACCTTATCAGTGTTTAAATAAAAAGCAAAAAAATTTATAAATTTGAAGAATTCTTGGCAATAGCAAAATATGTGACTTTAGAAGGGGAATGGTCACCTGTATTTTAGCACATCTTAAATATCTGTATATCCCTCAGATCTTTCAGTGAGAGCCCACTTAGATTAAGCATCTGAGGCAGAGTGGTCTCTGTTTTGTTAAAAGCCCCGAACCCTGACTCCATTCCGTTGGGACACATAACTGGGAAAGCCATTGCAGCGGGAGGAGAAATGGCTCCTCACCCAGCAAAATGTCATAGGGATCGAGCTTGGTTACGTTTACGTACACAGAATCACAGCTTTAGCCGGCTTTAAAGTTTTGCTGGGCCCAAGAATGGGGAAGATTTCGGATGTTTTGGGGCTTCTAGGGGGTTGAGAAAGGCCTTGAGCGTTTTAACTTCACCCACGAGTGAGTGCCATTGACTACTAAGCATCTTTGCTCGGGTCTCTCCCGAGTCAGCTCGGCGCCCGGCCCACCCATCTCGTTCAGTCTTCTGCCCACCCGCGTGAGTGCTCCGTCTTCCTGTGTGAGTGAAAATCCACTAAGTCTTTGGAGATTCTGCCCCAAAGTGGCTGGAACTAAGCCGGCTCAGACATGCCGAGGTCCAAATGACCAGGATCACCGCGCCCGGAAGGACGGCGGCGACGCGCGCGCACCTGTGTCCCCTGATTGAGAACACAGTGGACAAGGGGCTCTCCTGACCCCCCAGCCCGGCTTTCCCGGGATACCCTCACCTCTTACCGTGCTGGCGTCCGGGCTCAGCCGCAGGTTATGGCTGGACTGACTGATCCGCGAGCGCCGCGGGCCCGGGAAGCTCCGAGGAGCCGGGCGAGAGCCGAGGGGCCGAAGACCCTCTCCCCACCCGCGCACCTGCCCCGGCCACTGAGCCCCGCCCCGGCCACGGTCACGTGGGCCCCACCCCCAGACCCCCCTCACCTGCACAGCCACCGGAAGAGCGCGCACACCGCCCGCGGCACTGAAACTGGATCGGTCTCCCGGGGCGGAGCCGAGCCAAGCCTTGCCCCGCCCGGCTTTGTCAGGACTTCCACTTGGAGCGGCGGCAGGTCGGTGCCCGCACACCCACACCTCACAGCAAAGGTAACAAAACCCGGCTTCGCGACGAGTGCTTGGGAAAGGTAGTTTCGGGAGAGTTCTCTCCCTTCCCTATTTTTTGAAAAGTTTGACACTGAATGGAGATTCATGTACTATGCCCAGTGACATATGGCAGAGAGTATATGTTAGGAAAAGATTAACATATAGGAGAAACAGAAAGAAATTCAACATTTTAATTTTGATATAAATTATATAAAATATTTTCCAAAAGTATCTAAAATATTCCACTGTACAACATATAAAAATTGTATCTGAGAAGCCAGAGACCACAGAGGAACTGTGATTTAAGGCACAAAGTTTATTTACATTCATAACTACATACTGAACTGTTTTGTAATTCATATTTACAACCCTATAAAGTTTTTGTATTCTGAATTACTCCTTCACTTTTCTGATACTTGGCATAATGTTCAAACATACTGCATACACACTGACCTGCTCTCCTAACACCACTCACAAGACTAAATAAATACTAGAGAAAAAAATTTAAGATATTTGAAGGCTTGAGCTACTTCAAGATGACCGAAGAGTCAATTTCTTGTGTTGAAATACAAGAGCGGAGACTTAACAAATTTAATTTACTTGAAAAGCATATTATGCCTGTTAAAGTACCACTGGATAAAACTAATGTGAGTTTGTCAAGCAGCAATGTGATTGGTGGGCTGGTTTCTATGTCCCATCGCTCTCATAGTCTTCTATTATCAAGTCTTCTTCTTCTATGTCTTCCTGCACTGAAAAGTGCTGAGGCTGGCTTGCAGGCAGCTCACTCCCACTATTCTGACTCAAAGGAAGAGACCAAGTTTCGGGTTCAGCAGTCTGAGTGGGTTCATCCAGAGCTTCCTCAGCAGGCTGCCCTCCATTCAGCTGGGCTTCATCTCCACTTTCCGGGTCTATCATTCCATGCTCCTTGTCAATCAGGGCTTCCATTTTTAATCTGCCAGATTCATAATGCAGGTATTAACAGCCAAAGGAAGGGACTACCTTAAATTATATCAAAAGTATGATGACTTTGAAGCCATCTCTTACAGCTTTCGTTTACCTTCATTCTATTTAGCCAGATCCTTTGATTTATTTAATATAAATGAAAGTACAAGGTAAATGACAAATTGTGAATAAATCATTACAAGTTACAATAAAATGAGTTGATTAATGTCTTTAGTAAGAGTTCTTACATTATTAACTAAAAAGAAAAAACTAGGAAAGAAAAATAGGCATAAAACACAAACAACTTAACAGAAAAAAATATATCAATGGTAACTAAATAAATTGTTCAACCTAATTTGTAATTTTAAAAATGAAAGTTAAAATAATGGGCTACTATGTCATCTTTTAAACATCTTTTAAATCTTTTAAAGACCTTTTAAAATAATAAAACCCAGTGGTGGCAAGAGTTAGGAAAAAAGAACATGCTGATATACTGAAAGATGGCGTAAAATTGTCAACATACTCTTGGAAATAT